AATATGACAAAAATGTCACCTGTAATTGCCTATTAAACATGCTGCAATGTCACACCTGTTATTAGACTGTACCAATTAAATGCTGTTTAATGATTACAATCAAAAAGCTATTTTTGTGAAAGTGCGTACCATTTAATTATTTCTTAAATTGTTTCTTAGCAAAGTTTGTTAATATTTTTTGAGAAAATGCTTCAGAGCTTATATATTACTCAAAATAGGACCAACAATAAAATAAATCTTTTATTGTTTTATTTAAGTGGAGTATTTTAAGTATGGATCTTGAATCAAAAGTTCTTCAAACTTAGAGTGCAAAATCAAAGAAAAGTAGATTTTCTGTATATTTGAAGTGCATGCTTTCTACATTGGTATACTTACAAGTGAAGAGTATTCTTTGCTAATTTTGTTGAATTAAGTATAAGATTGACTTTTAATTTTATCCCAATCTAACAATATCTTCCCATCCACATTTATTTTGACATTAAAATTCTTCAAGGGCTACACATCAATGCGCATAATTAAAATACAAGGTTTTATGAATATATAACTGGTATATTACATATGTCATGTGACCATTACACCAAAGATTATTTATGATGTACAATTACCAAAATGTTATCTGCTATTCTAAAGATTCTTACATATACTCCAGAAATAAATAAAACAATAAAAGATTAATTTATTTTATCTTTGGCGCTGCCACCGTGTATATAAAAACAATACATCAAGCATTACAATTGACAAAGGTTAAGTATGAAACAGTACAAGAATTGGCAAGAAAAGTCTTTAAAATTCACATCTATTATTAATATGACATAATCTCATTGAAATCCTAAAGGTTTGTTCATGAGAATATGTTTTACATGGAATATAATATAAATAAAAAAAACAAATAAAAACTAGTCGACGAGGATGGGATTCGAACCCACGCGGGCAGAGCCCAATGGATTAGCAGTCCATCGCCTTAACCACTCGGCCACCTCGTCATATTGTTTATTTGGTGATAAGCACTTATATTTAACAAGGCAATATGGTACCAATTTATCACTTGTAATAATATGATGCAATACAAAGTAACAGCTGGTGCCAGTTAAACTCATAAAAGCAATCAACTTACATTCGATTGCAAATACTAGATTAGTACCTATTTCTCATATAAATAGAGTACGGTGAAACTTGTATATCCGAACACCAATTTAGTCAGAACACTTCTCAATATAAACACTTTTTCCGTGTTCCAAATTTGTTATCATCCATTGACCTACATGTAGGAACTATGAATTTTGATGACCTACTTATTCAGACACTTTTGGCTGGTCCCACTGAGGCATTCGGATCAGACAGGTTTTGCTGTCCCTAAATTTGTTGTTTTTTCGAAAAAGGAACCACAAGAAAAATATTTCAAAATTAGGGGTTTAAAATAGGATGATTTGAACACTATTTGATAATATGTTTTCTCAAACCAAAAGGATATTCATTGATCATTTGTACACTGATACAGTACTAAGTCAAGTTATGTTTTCTAATTTGAAATATTACACATTGTAACGGGTTCTAAATAAAGAATTACAGTAAAACCTGTGTATTATACAGATGTCATTGGTGCATGTAGTGAGAAGGGGTGTTCACTAGACACAGGTGTTCAGAGAGAGGTGTTCACCAAAACTACCACACTGTTTTATAGTATTTGGTGTTTTAAAGTGCCCGATAAAGTATAAAATGCGCATGCGTCCAGGTGTTGATAAACTATAAATAGCGAAAATCCAGGGTTTGTCACCACAAGGTAAGCCAGGACGTGTTGAGAGAACAGCTAGTGTTGATATTGAATTTATATGTAGCCAGATAAGTTTCCTTATTGAAATTACATATGGTTATTAGCAATACTTTGTAGGTGCTAAATAATAAAATATTTAGAGTATATATGAGAGAAATTGGTCATTTCGAACCTGTTGAAAAGTTTGTGGCTCTCGGCTACACCGGGGAATTTACTTCCATGAGTACACACATAAATGTGGGGTTCCCCAAGAGGTACGCGACAAGGTGACCTGGCATCAAATGTGCGACTATCACTATCGAGAAGATAAAATAACGAATACGACAATAAGTTATTGCATGTGACAATTCCGAGCCTTCATCTCACTGAAGTATTTTGAAGTGAAAATAGGATTTTTGTTTTGATACATGGATTCAGATGAACGTAACTTTATTCTGACAACTAATCAAAACTGAACAAAATTGATTGTACGTAACAGACAATTTATTGTTTTACAATGTTTTGATTGGCTAAACGAATGAAACCAACAAATTATGACATGTAAAATGACAATTTTGAAATGCAAAATTTAAAAGTGACAAACACAACCTCCCTATCTACTCTTTGGGAGCCCTAGTAAATTAGTAATATGTACATGCAGCAGTGGTAGTGTGCAGCTTATTATCACACTACGCTTTGTATTCTAAAGCCTGTTGTTTGTAATAACACTGTTCACTCAACATATGTTTTGTGTGTGGGTAGTCAACGATAATCATTGTTTTATCCCGGTTATATGACCTCGGCAATTATAACAAAACCGTACTAAACGAAAAAACGCTAATAAGAGAAAGCTTTCACACACATATAAAAATGAACTAGTCTAATCCGCCAGTATAAACTCTGTGCTATACGTAGCCGGGTCAGGCGCACACTTTAAGATGAAAAACAAGCCAAATACATGTAAAAACTTCCCAAATTCATTCTACATACAACTCTAGAAATTTGAATTGTTACATAACAGAGAAAACAATGAACTAGTTTTGCAAGTATACAAAAAGTGCAGACTAGACCATTTTGACAGCTTAGGCAATATGAAACCAAATTATGTGTGATGCAATCTTCTTTGGAATGACAACAAATAAATCAAAAATATTTTAAGTTATATCTTGAAGATAAAAATTATGATAAACAGTCGACGAGGATGGGATTCGAACCCACGCGGGCAGAGCCCAATGGATTAGCAGTCCATCGCCTTAACCACTCGGCCACCTCGTCTTGATAGAGAGTACCCGACTTTCACATATATTTAACAGAGCAATATTTAACCATATGATGCAATGTGCCATGTGCCTTGTTCCAATTTATCTATGAGGCTAGAGTAATTCAATCTTATGTTTTGCATGTACATGTACTTATTTTTGGAAAACGGAATGTAGCTGAAGGATTGGAATTTTTCAAATAATACTATTTCATTATACAGAGATAAAGAGACCTACACGTCTGTTTATATATTCCTTGCTACTGGTCTCAAGTCCTCTATAATCTAATATCTATAATCTTATATCAAACAACTGTCACCATCATGACATTTTGTCATTGCATCATGTTATTGACTGAAAACTTGATACACAAATAACAAAGGATACTTTGGGCATATAAAGGACAACTGAAACAAACTATTAGTTTGAAGGGCCTTTCTGAGAGTTATTTGATGCATACCTACTTAAAACACCTTCTAATGAAATAAACTAAAATCTATATTTATCATTGCATCATTTATTTTGGCTGATTTCCACACTTGTAATCAACATCACATATCATTTGCTGATATAAATTGCAACATCACTGAAATAGAATGTCGGGGTGGACCTGGTTATTTACAGACTATAGGGCACAAATTTGACCTATTTTTAAGAACATTCTGGCATTTTGTCAAATAATTAGGCCATAAATGTGTTTAAGCGAACACACTCCCAGATCCACCAGAGAGTCTTATACATTAATATGACATATCATATCATTGCATCATGTTTTGACAGTGTAGTGCAAGATCCATTCTTAAGTACATGTTTGCACATCTATGTGAATGTCAACATTTTGTTGACATACAATAAAAACTTTTGTCCCAGTAAAAAGTATTTCATCTATGAAAATGCTGTGTTTACAATTACATGCAGTAATTTTTTGATATTGATATGACCTCATATTAATTAAGGAGGTTGTTTACCCTCAGGCTATTATTTTTATATCAAAATGACCATGACATAATTATGCTTCATATTCAAATAAAAATAAAAGTTGGTGTCACCCAGTTCATTTTTTAGTTAAAGCTAGAAAACATTTTGATCCTCAATGTTAGGAATAGGGTTTTAATTTTTTTTAATTATGTACAAGTGTGTGACAAAAATACATTAATAAAAGTGCCACTACTGGGTATTATTCTTCAAAATTATGTACTGTATCATAATATAAAGTAAAAAATTCATTTTCAAAAGTGTGATATCACAAAATCTTTATGTCCTAAAGCTGACCACTCATCAAATCATTACTCTTATGCTATAGCATGGAGCCACCTATTGCCAGTAAACAATCATCTTAAGGCAGAATCAGATCTCGAGAGCAAGAACAAGTATAAGATATCATGCCTTTTGCAGAAATAATTTATTTGAGACTTTGTGTCTTTTCAAGCTTTAGATAAGGAGGTTATTTCTGATTCTGCTTTTAAAGGTTCCATGTATGGACTACTTGAGTTCATATTGTAGTTCAATTTGGAAGAGGAAATAAAGTGTTTTACATTCTATTATGCTCTACTTGATGATCTAAAAATCAAACATTTGAAAAAGGATTAATAACTTTAAAAAAATGTATCACACAATTTGAAGAGTCATGAATGAATAAATAATATTTTCAAACTTTGTACAGGGCCTTTAATGGGTCAAGATACATAGTGTTGAATTTAAGATTTATAGACTGTCCTTTTGACTCCAATATAAGAAGTCCTGCTATCACATTTGCATACTTGACTTGAGTGTCTTATATCCACTGTTTTATGATAGTGACATCAAATATGATTTCTCTACAATAAGGTGAAATCTTGATCACAGTTTTGTCCGAAGCCCAACTTTTAAGTTGAGAGTCACTTTAAAAATGATCTACATGAAACCTGTTAAGTGCAACACCACTAGTGGAACACCCCAGAGGTCAGAGACCAACTGACTTAATGTAAAATGAACCTCTATAAGTTGAACACCTCACAAGTGAAACACTTTAGAGGTACCAAGGGTGTTCCAGTTAGACAGGTTTCACTGTATATCCTTTCATCATCTCCCAAAGGAAAATTATGTTATCACAAAGTTCAACTGCATACTTCTATTTAATGTCACTTGGTAAAGAGAAACATTTGAAGCAAGGGGACTACACTAATAGTTGTAACATCCACCATTACAGCCTGCAAATAAACACAACAATCTATGACTAAAATGTCCGTCTGCTCATGTTCATTTCATGGAATTCCTCTTTAATATTTGATTGAAGTGTTTGATTTTTTGGCATTTTTATACAATATAGAGTATCAACTTCATGTCTATTTACTTTAATCCGAACTATTTTATCCTTAGCTACTCTTTTTGCATTTTACAAGATGACCCCAATATATTTGGTCACGATATTATCAGAAACATTAACTCCATTGTGTTTTATATACCTCAGCAGCTTGTAAATTCTTTACTTGCAACAGGTTGGTTTTTCTGTATGAGAAAATGGCAGCGGCAAGAACTGGAAGTACATGTACCAATATATGTATAAATGTAAATAAGACCTATATTCTATAATAAATCAAACTAATTCCAGAAATTTCTGGCAAAAATTGGAAAGATTGGAATTGCCAATAACGCATTAAAGATACACCAAACTGAGTGATTGGCAGTGAGTAAAACCTTAATAAAAAATCCCCAGAGATCTAATCAGCTTATATCTTGAGGTTTGCTCTATTGATCGAAATGTGGATTTACTAACAGTTTTCCTAGTGACTTTTCTTTCATGCTAATGTTTCCCTGCTTTTGGTTTGTGTTTTTAAAGAGGCCTTTTATTTTGATATAAAAATATTTAAAAAAGGCTCAAAGACAAATAACATTGATATCAAATGTTTTCACAAAAAATGACGAAATTATGATGAAAATATTGATTTTAATTCGATCAATATTGTGTATTTTAAGTTTTATATCAGCCACATTTACCCACAAACCAATCAGACAGGATGTAAAAAGCACTGCACACTAGAGATCAGTGCCATCTATAGAAGTTCTCATTATCAACAATATTTTTCAGATTCTTTATTGAAGTAAAAATAACAATAAGGATGAACATCCATTCTGGTTTACCATATCCACTCTTATCTGTCATTTGCGAAACTTTGGAAAGATCGAGGCAAAGATGATGACCATCATTTCACAGTACAAGAAAATTAAATTTCATACATAATTTTTTATTTTAAGCATCTCATTGCAGTATAATCTACTTATATTTCAAATAATGATGGCATGGACAATTATGAATTGTAAAATCTCGCAGAGAATTGTATAGTTTCTAAATAGCTGAATAACGCTGACATAATAGATGTCACCCTTGTCTGTCTTTGATTTTCTTGGGCTAGACCTCAATTCACTTCAATGCTAGAAACTTGCAATAGTCAGTTAATTTCATTATTTATCAAAAAGTGTTGGGTGAATCTGTCTGAAACTCAAATGGCATACTATTGTATGACTCTGTCAATGTACATTTTGTGATAAAATCTCATGAAAAACGAGAATTAGATTTCAAAGCTATTTAGAAACTCCTCTATTGCTATAATAGCATACCTGTATTATGCTATCATTTAAAGGATAATTATGTTCAGTATTCAATTCAATAGTTCGTATACTCCATATACACACACATTACCTAAAGTAATTTACTAAAGCTACATATTTGAATTAATATTACTAATTACATGTACTTAGTATCGATTTTCTCTTTAACATTGACAGACTTAATACTAGAATAAGAAAATGTATGTGAAGTCAAGCACTACTAATTGCTTTTTATTGTGTCTTTTGTATTAATAGCTAATTCCTGCCTGTCTGGAGCATGCACTTTGCTTTTTTACTTTGTCAGTCAACATCCTGTCTGTCAAAAGCATGCATGTATATGGTTTCATATGGTATTATACAATCATGCTTGGTGTTGTGACACTTGGAATGCTATCCTTTGTTTTTTCCCTGTCATATGCTATTTTCTTCAACATTCCATCGCAAAAACCAAAATATTGGGTGGCCTTATCTTTATCTCCCATTGCTTCATGAACCTTGCCAATATTATGCAGTGATTTTGCAAGGTCATCATTAGCAACATTTTGCCCATATAGGTTTTCTTTCATATCAAAAGCCTCATTATGAAGTTGCAACGCCTTCAGCCATGCCACTCAAGGACGCAGCTACATCCTTATTGGGGACCTTCCCGTGAATCTCATTGCGCATAAGATAGCCCATGCGGAAGTAATTCAAACTTATCTTGTAATCAAGAAGCTTCATATGTGCATTCCCCATGCTGTGTAATGTATTGGACAGTTGTTCACTTGCTTTATCTCCACAGAGCTTTTCTATTAACTCATAACATCGGGTCAATTTTTCTAACCCTTTTCTTGGCTCTCCACTATCTATGTAGGCATCACCCGTATCTTGTAAAATGTTCGAAAGTTCAATTGAAGGTTCTTCTGCATATAACTGTGAAGTAACCTTTTCTGCATCTTCAAGGTATCTTAAAGCTGCCCTTGTATTATACTGATTGTATTTGTATAGCTTCCCAATATGATGCATCAGTTGTGCAACTTCAGCGTCTGGTTGGTAGTTAACAAGTTGCTGTCTCACCTGCATTGCATCAGTTAAAAACTCAATAGCTTTTGTTTTCTCATCAATCTCTTCATATGCTTTTCCCAAGGCAACCAAGTTTCTCATAATCTTTAAGCTTGGTTTCCCTCTGTATACTTCTTTCCTGACCATTAAAGCATCATGGAGCCATTTGATAGCCTCATTGGCATTTCCCATCAGCTGGAAAATATTCCCTATCTCTTCCATGGTATCAGCAACAGATACGTTTGGCTTATTGTCACAAATCAGTTTCTTCACACCAAGTGCCAATTTGTTATACTCCAGTGCTTTTTCTTTACTTCCCAAGGCCAAACAGGTTTTACCCAGTTGTTCAAATGAATCACCCATGTGTGTGTTCGCTGTATTATCAGAAAGCTGCCTTTGTAGCTTTGCATTCTCTAGAAAAGGTTGTAATGCCAGATCAGGTTTCTGTACCTTCATATATATTTTGCCTACTGATTCAAAACACTCAGCTAGAACTTGGGTTGGTTTATCTCCATCAAGTTGTCGAATGTATTTTATTGCATTGTTGTAGTGTCCAATGGCTCTGTTGCTATCATCCACTGCATGGTACGCCTTTGCAACCTTCATTAAGGATGATAGAACTTGGCGGTTGACTGTATCTCCATGGACTTGCTTTATTACAGCTAATGCAGCCTTGTGTCGGTCTAAAGCTTTATTTGTATCTTTCAAGGTATAATACAAGTCACCTATGCAATGTAGAATGTCTACACCTTCTTGGCAAGCACCTTTTATAGTATCCAAGGTTGCACTTGCTTCATAATATTGCTTCAATGCTTGCCCATTTTCGCCCAATTTAACATACATGTCACCGATGTTCTTTATGGTTCGCCAAATGGGCACCAACTGTCCCCGCCCAAGTTCTGTGTCCATTGCCAAGGATTTCATAAAATAATCAATGGCTCTATCAGGCTTGCCTAGACTCTTCTCAGACTTGCCAAGATTGTAAAGAGCATCAGCCAGATCAGAATGGGGACCTTTGCCATGTAATTTTGTATACATCTCATAGGCTTTATTAAAATGTTTGGATGCATCATCGTGCTTGCCTTGTTTGATACAAATGTCCCCAAGACTGGTTAAGGCATTAGCAACATCTTCATGTGGTTCACTTTTGTGCAAGGTATTTTTCATTTTATATGATCTCTCAAAGTACTGGGATGCATTATCTTTTTCACCAAGATCACTGTAGGACCAGGCTATGTTATTCAGCAGTTTTGCAACAAACGTGCTGGGAGAGGTACCATAAATTGGCCATACCACTTTATGTGCTTCTAAAAAACATTGTAATGCCATTTGTGTCTCTGCTTGTTTTGTGTACACACCTCCAAGATTGTTCAAAGTAACTGCTAATGGAAACTTCGGTGGTTGGGCATATAACTGACGCTGCATCTTGAGGCTATCACTGTAGAACCTAGCTGCTTGTTCTGTGTCACCTTTATCCTCATACACTGATGCCAGATCATACATTGAGTTAACAAGGTCATCATGTGGTACCTCCCCATAGATGGTGCATCTCAGGGAGAAGGCATGATTGTAGTAAGCGATTGCTTGTTTCATGTCACCCATCTTTCTATAGATCCCAGCGAGGTTTGTTAGTATGACAGCCATCTGCCTATCAGGTTTAGGAATTATTGCACCAGTTACACCAAATGCTTCTTGGTAGTACCTCAATGCATTTGGATTGTTACCAAGTTGACTGTGGATGCCTCCAATGTCATTCAAAGAAATTGCTATCTCAATGTGGGGTGCATTCCCATGTTTTTTCTTTAGCTGCATATTTTTCATAATGCATGATGTCAACTCCTTTATCAATGGGTGCTGATTCTCTAAAAGTAGCATGAATAAAATTAAGATACAAAATGAAATATAAATGAAAAATAAAAAAGAGAAATGAAGAGACACAACTGTTAACTGTTGATGAATGCGACGAACAATTCTATTATTCATATGAAATGTACATACCTTTGGGTCTTGCGCTTGTGGCCATCTCTTCTGTTATTTCAATTCCAGAGTTCAATCAAAAAGAAACTCATCACTCGAGAAAATGTTTCTTGTAAACATGCCTGGTCTACATTTAGAGTTATGCATACAGGGTGTTCAACTAATTTGATAAATGTAAAAAGTTATTTGGTGTGAATAAAATTAGACTTTATTTTTAATTCAAACTTGAACTCAAAATACATGCATGTATGTTCCATGCATGTATTGTTTAAGCCATATGTGTTAATCTGCTTCAATGTAATGTATATGTACATGTATTGATTCTTGTTTAAAATGAGGGTAGTATTTATTTACTTATTAGCTACCCTGTAGATGTTTCAACACTCAATAGTACTTGAGAATTACTCAAGAGGTGATATATTTTACTTTACATACTAAGAATCTATGTTATCTTAATAACCATATATAGACTTCTGTAATACAGGGTGTCCAAAAAAAAACAGGACCGTAAGAAAGTTGAATAACTCGGTCAATTTTGCATATTTTGCCTTGAAATTTCAGAACTATTCAGTTCCTTCAATAAGAATTTTGTTGTGAAAGTTTGATAATAATCTACCAATTGAGTCAAAAACTACAGCTCCTTACAAAACATGCCCCAAATGTGCAAATCTCATCTCTATGCACAATTCAATCCGGCGAACAAACATGTTGATGATCCTCCTACACACATGTCTTTCTGAATGGACAAGTTTGTTCCAAGAACAATTGCTACTGGGGCTTACATCCTACTGATGAAGTGTTACAGCATCCATTGCATTCTGAACAATGCACTCCCTGGGTGGCAATGAGGAAACATGGAATCATCAGTCCCTTTTGGTTCGAAAGTGAACAAGGACCAGTAAGTTCTCACCAAGTTTTGGAGGTCACTAAGCACCAGAAGGGACATCTAAGGAGATAATTAAGCAGTGGTTTGAACAAGCCAATACCACCCCAACACTGCAAATGATATGCTGAAATGGTTTAGGCAATGCTTTGGTGGTCAGCTCATCAGTTGCAGAACGCAAACCATATGGGCAGCTCATTCACCTGATCTAAATCCCCCAAATTTTTGTCTTCGAGGATTTCTTAAAGCCAATGTGTATACTGACAGGCCTCTAACAATCTTAAGAGGGCAATAACTACCCCAATATTTACCATCCACATTAATATGTATAGGTAAGGGTCATTAACAACTTTGTTCGCAGGATTCGTTTGTGCATAGAGAGGAGAAGTGCCCACTTTGAGCATGTTTTGTAAAGGACTGTAGTTTTTGACACAATAAACGGATTGTCATCAAACTTTCAGAACAAAATTCACATTGAATGAACTAAATAATTCTTAAATTTCAAGGCAAAATATGCAAAATTGACCGAGTTATTCAACTTTCTTACGGTCCTGTTTTTTTTGGACACCCTGTAGTATACCATATACAGTAGAACCTGTTAAAACACACATATTGTTGAAGGATTTAAGCCCTGGACTTCAATGTCAGATATACAAAATCACTAAAAGAAGATATTTTCAATGGAAAGTTTTGCAAGGGTAATTTCAATCTGTAGAGTCAAGTTGTCACCTTGACAACCACATAAGGAATGACCTTAGATGGGGTGATTGGTGATATAATGCACTGCAGTTATATGAAATACTGTGTTTAGATTGGCTGGAATCGGACACACCTTGCCTAGCTATGTGTGAATTCAATATTTGGTGTTCACTGAAGGAGGATCTCGTTGTAGTGAGATAAATACCATTGACATCACTGGTTATCTATTTGTAATTGAGATGAATATGTTAAATTCAAAATGGTTGCCAATGGTTTCAATTCTAAATGTTTCCCTGATTCAACAGTAATATTTCCTGACCCAATATACTGTTCTTTGCCTCCAATAAAATTAAGAGTAAAATAACAAATTCAATGACCACATGTATATGCTTTTGAGTGGTTTCCATTTAGGTTTTCCTAATTTCAAGGATCTTGTCAGCTTATAGTCTAATATATAATGTAAAATTTTGCTCACGTTAAATTCTCAGACATTCTCAGCATTCACATGGTTCCTAACTATTTTAGCCAATTTTGAGGAAAATTTTGATTTTACTCTGACTTTTTCTTGACCATGCATGGCAGCCTTGCCTATTTGATTTCTCTATTGCGTGAAATGTCCATTTGATTCAACTGGATGAAATGCCCACTTGATTCAATTAGGTGAAATGCCCGATAGATTCAATTAGGTGAAATGCCCACTTGATTCAATTGGGTTTGTTTTTTGTTTTTTTTATATTTATTTATTTATATAAAATTCAATTGGGTGAAATGCCCACTTTTAGTTTCAATGCTGAGGATTTACACCAAAACTTTTCACTGAGTCAGATTTTACTGTACTGCATGTTAAAATATAGTCAACTTCTTTGAAGTTTGATTTGTCCTATTAAAAGGCCTTCAAAGATAAAGTACTTTTAAATGTTGAACTGTTTCGTTTCTAAAGTACTTATTTTATCTATAGATCAGAATGACCTCATGGGAACAAATATAAAGCTGTTTGCAAACTTAAGGTGAAATGTCATAGTTTAAAGATTATACATTGTACTAGCTATAAATGAAAAAAATTCATGTCATTTTATAGAAGCATTGAAGTTTATTTATGTGTACTTAAAACTCTTGTGATGATGTGTCATATGAAATCCCAATTTCGATCAAATTGGGTCGTGAATCGCTATAATATAGCATCTTCGATATTGTCAATGACAACTGAATCTGAATTTGAAATAATTGACAAAGACCACGCCATATGTTAATACAGTGTCCGTTGTCCCGGATGTCATTTTGATCGGTTGAATTATAGACTTTGTTTCGATGGTAGAATATTATTAACTGTATAATGAGTATAAATACACTTTGATTGATTGTTGTTCCAAAGGAATTTAGTCTAGGTGCTCTATTAAACATACAGTTCATGAAAATCTAATTGAAGTGACAGTTATGACCACCATTTGTGACAACGGTATCCGACTTTATCGCTGTCAGGCTATTCCGGTGTGTAAATAGATGAAAGAGTCAATTTGACCTTTTTCCATATAAATGGAAAATAGATGGCATCATGGGTATTCTAGCCCTACCCTAGTAGGGCTAGGGTAGGGCTAGAATACATGTAAATGTGTTGCCAGAACCACTTGATTTAAGAAGTAATTCCATTTGGATCAGCTTAAAACATCATTGGAATGTAACTATATGATCTTATTGACATGTGGATTGTGATTTCACATTAAAATTGTGATCCTTGTAAGAGTAAATGAATTTTTAAAGGTTTTTCAGCATGGTGTCAATGGGGATTTAGCCGACCTTTTTAGAAAACTAGAGAATCATTAGAATTTGAATAAAGGTAAATAACGGTGCAAATCAAAGTTGTTTTGATAGAAAATTACACACAGAATTCAAATATGCCATCAAATAGAAGAAAAACTTAGTATAAATGGTTAAAAATGCACATCTCCTAAAATCTCATTAAAAAACGAGACTTTAACAAGATTTCAATGCTATATGGAAAAAGGACCATTCAAGGGGTTTAACTGTAATTTTAACATGTAAAATTCCTATAAAATCTCCCAAGATGAATTTTGTCAATTTTTTCTAAAACATTTTGATATTTTGATATTGAAACTTTAAACATGTAGGGAAAGAGTAATGAAATGATTATATTGGTTTGATTCATGCAATTGCATTTGTAGTTGTTGTTTTTTTATTTAAATTAATGTAACATATTTACAGGTTATAGTGGCTTTGATCCCCAAGGCTAGAGGGATTTTGCTGGCCAATCATAAGATTTACATCATGCAAGAATTATTATACCATTTTATATTTGATTCAGAGGAATTTTAAGATAATCATTGCTTAAAATAAGTTTTAAATAATACAATTTGCCTTGTATGAAAACAATTTGGAACTTACTTGCAATTATTTCGACAGAGTCGTAAGCTAGAACTTTGTCCCACAGACTGAGTACCTGGTCACTTGCTAGATATCCAGCAAACGCTCTGATAAGCCAGCGGAATGCAATACGAAGCCTGCAAAATAGACTAATATTTACTATAAATGTACAATAACAGAAGCTAGGAAGCTAAGAATCTAGGATATCTTTGCTGATTCATGATGTTATAGGTTGTAGGTAGTAATATTATTGTAGTTTCATGTGATTGTAATAACCCCACATGATTGTTACACAATAGTCCCACATGAATGTAATAGCCCCACCTGAATGTAATAGTCCCACATGAATGTAATAGTCCCACATGAATGTAATAGCCCCACATGAATGTAATAGTCCCACATGAATGTAATAGTCCCACATGAATGAACATAATAGTCCCACATGAATGTAATAGTCCCACATGAATGTAATAGTCCCACATGATTGTTCCACAATAGTCCCACATGAATGTAATAGTCTCACATGAATGTAATAGTTCCACATGAATGTAATAGTCCCACATGAATGTAATAGTTCCACATGATTGTTCCACAATAGTCCCACATGAATGTAATAGTCTCACATGAATGTAATAGTTCCACATGATGCTAATTCCAGCATGATGCCAATCATCTAAAAATTGATCCAATGATTCCACATACAATAAATTAAGAGGCATTAACATGACAAAATGTCACCACTTTGTAAGTTGTTCGCTTGTTACAAATGCTGACTGCCAAATGTTGAATACTGTCCACAAAAAGTATCAGATTATAACAATACTGTATGAGATCCCTTCTGGTGGAGGCATAAATTGAGACTAAAGAAGTAAAACTTACGGTTGACAGCCAATTTGCTTGAGGTGGAAGAACAGTTGCGGTTCTACAGCTTGCAGAGTCTTTTCAAAGAGAACACACAGAGATACTATGCCCTGGAAAACAATTATCCCATACTTGGAGATGTATGACGTATATAAAGTCACGGGGGTAAAGCAGACCCAATGATGCAATGAGCTTGCTCGGCGGTATCATGACTGTGTATCGGGGCTTAATGTATAAGTGAGCTCGGCGGTAGGTTCAAACAACGCGGATCCTCAAAGCATGTGCTCATGGTATCATCGTGGCTAATAACACCCGTGTAAAGTGACCCATAATTTTTTCTCTCAGGATTTACCCAAATACCGAAAGTTCTCCATCACATCACCCTCTACATCCATTGAGGTACATGTACCCACACCATTATTTTATTTCATACAATTCGCAATAGACTCATAATGATCATAGTACTGATAAAAATATAATAAATAGAAGTGATTAGATACTACTTTCAAATACAAACCCTAAAAGTTTGTTTCAAAGGGAAATAACCCCAATGGAAACTTAGAAATAATAGAAAAAAATGTCTAGAAATTTTGATACTCATATCATGACATTTTGTTGTTTTACTAGCAACTGTTTCGAGAAAAGAACTGCTAGGCCTACAAGTCTATCATTTCTTGCGATGTAACTATTCCATTAGTAGGACGACAGTAATCTTACCTCAGGATGTGAAGAGATTGCATGTAGACGGAAAAAATATCTCGTGTAGAGCTCTCGAAAAACGAAATATATTGAGACTGGATCATTGTACAGGTAACACAGGGTTGCAACTGAAAGGCAAATACAAAGGTTCATGTTATAAATTGTCAACACTTTCACACTTGATTATTCCAATAGGCCAAACAAAATGGAGCTCTTAACAATCAATATCAAACGTTTCGGGAGAGGGGCTTTGGGCACTTTCAAGTTCAGCATGATTTCCATTCGCTGAAGTATAATTAGGCCACTTTGCATGGAATTATTGTTTTTTTGTACTTAGCAACTGGTATTTCACGTGTTCATATTGTGTGTTACCATGGTTACTGCAATGTTTATCTGTGAATGTATTGCTTATCATAAATATTTGATATACATCCACTTGTACATTTTGAAAAGCAACAATCATCATGCATATGATTCATTTTAAACCCAATGATGATATCTTTATGATTCATGAATTTAATGACTCACCATACATAGTGAAGCCATGAAAAGGTATAACTCCGCTTGGAGGGTACATCACTGCAAAATCATTATCCCCGAGTCTGCCACGAATATATGACTTAGCTGGAGTTGCGCTACTTTGTTCAAAGCATCGAAGAATTGATGTGTCTCGGGAAAATGGCAGCAATACCTATAAATACATAAATTATGGATTCACATATAGTCATTCTTCTCATAACTATTGCTGCTTTTATTTTCTAATTTATTTTATAATGTTCTTAGTTGCAACTTTAGGATTTAAGCCTAGACTCAGTGCAATGTGGAATGACCATTCCTTGAAGGTGTTGGTTTCCAAATTTTGCACAAAATGCGCAGCGTCGAGTGTTAATTTTAAGAAACAACATGCTTAAGTTAACCTATAGTTCCTCACTATAATATTTAAAAGAATTCAGTTCATCTATTGCTGAGAAATTGCTGTCAAAAAGCAGCTATTCTTTTGTGACATACGATATGTCTTACCTGGTAAAGGACATCTTCAAAAACAAAGTACTGGTCATCATTTGTTGCAGTTAGTTTCACATCCTGAAACAATGTCACTGTAATTAGTATTCAGTTTGCTCCAAATCTTGATTTTAATATCATTAATACAGGACACATAATATCAATGTGTGGTTGTCCCTGTGGTGTTCAGATTGGACTTTACTGTACTTTTACACCATTCTGATCACTCATCATATCTTTTATTTAACAAGCAGTTTGTCTCTGAGAAAGGAAAAGCCACAAGATCTCTCATAATGATTCAAATATCAATTCTGAATAAGTGATTAAGTAGATCAACTTTAATTTAAAGGCCCACTTTGTGTATTTTCAACATTTTGTGGCAAAAAGAAGTCTTTAAGTACTTTAAGTAAGTACTTTATCTTTCATTTGACACCAAAAACAGCTAAAAACAGGCCACATCGAAGCTTGCAATATTGTTATCAAAAAATAGTTTTGATCTGTCAAGCTTTATATATCAAGTTCTCATCAATGTCAATAAAAGATGGCGAAGTTGTTTGTATTACATGATACATTCATTTTTATGGAAGTGTCGCCATCTTTTAAATCAAGAGTAATTTAAAACATGCACTTTGTCAAAATTATGCATGCACTACTAATGATCTCTGAACTGAATGCCGTTTTCGAGGTGTTATTTTTTCCTTGGTTTAATATTACTGCAAATCAAACTTTGTATCATATTTAATTGAGTGTGTTTTCTTCTAAATTAAGCATAGTGGGGCTTTAACCTGATTCTAGTCTATAGTCTATGTTGTAAGCTCACCTTATATATGAGGCTGTCAACCAAGAGGTCATGCTCAAGCACATAAGCCTTTAAGTGTTCATAGTACAAAGCATCCTGAAAATATACAGTCAGATTCTCAAAAGTAAACATAGTTTTGTGTCATTTTTTAATCCAAAAATGAGTAAAATGAAAAGAGGATCATTATATATTAGATTCATGATCAGATTCATGAAATCATAGGCTGCAGGGAGCAATGTTAACAAACAAAATGCTTTTTAAAATAATTCCAATAAGTTGATAAATCATGTTTTGTGGGGAAATACCAATTTGAGCTAGGTACAAGTATGAAGTGCCATTTGATATGTCACGTGACATACAATTTCTGCTCTGAAAATGAAATCAGATATGTGCTGACCTTACATCCCTGATATCACAATAAAATGAACTTGTTGGTGGTTCAACATTGTAATTTATCGTATGATCTGTAAAATGAAGCCTTCTGATTGGTCAGTTCTTGTGCTGTACCGATCTGTATTGCTACTGAGATTGTCCGCATTGAACATCTCCGTCGCAATACAGAAAATATTGGTACGGAGGAGACATTCTCAGTAGCAATAAAGAGGATCACACGATAAAAACGTTATAGAATGATTTGAAGTGCAATACAGGATATATTCTGTCTCGATATTCTGTATTGGCACTCGAATGTGTCTCATTCCAATACGGAATTTCTCGAGCAGAATATATCCTGTATTGCACTTCAAATCATTCAATAACTTTTAGTGTGGTCGTCATACAATAAGGTAGCATAAATATAATCTAAATCGAGTAAAACAATTTTATTACATCTTTAATATGTCATTTGCAGAAGAAACAATAATATCTAATCAAATGCTCGGTTTTCTTACAGTGATCTCCCTAGGATTTTTTTTCAAGTGGGTGCAAAATTCTCATTTTCACAATTCACGCTATAATTGGTAAAAAATACCAATTTTTTATGATTTTTCTCATTTTCAAGTGGGTGCAAAGGGATTTTCAGGTGAGTACAAGCCTCTTATCAAAATCTCAGGTGGGTGCTGCGCCCACTTGCTTTAATGCTGGATAGGTCACTGTCTTATATTTTCAATAACAATATTGTCTATCTGAATTAAATGACATCTGTTCCGTTGTGGAAAAACATTACCATTAAAACCACATACGATCGGTGTAAAAAAGCGACCATTACTTATTGATCACCCCTCGTACTACTTATCCTCATATTAATTGTTCATATTCTAATTCAACACTTTCTACTTTATTATCCATTTAAAACAATGATCAATTAATTTTTGTTTATTTTGCACTACCATGCAATCCAAGTTGATGTTTTATTGTTGAACTGTCTTCCTTATCATGAACAAATACTGAAATTGAATATGTACTTAATTGCTATATTGTAAAATATCATGCTGATTATTTTTTAAATGCATAATTAATTGAAAATTGAGAATCAAGCTACATATAAACTGTCATTTAACTCAGTCTCAAAATTGTTAAAACATATCAGAAACTTGGGTAGGCCTACTCTATTCTTTAGCTTGTGTTATAAAAAAAATTAAAGATGAAAATATAATTGTTAGCATAAGTAGACAGGATTTCAAGCATGAAGGAAAACAAATACATCACCCATCATTAATTTGAACAATTTATATGTCTTAATCAATTAATAAGTGTTAAAATATCCAATATTATTTTTCTATATACAAACAACAGATTGTTGTAAATCAGCCAGGAAAGGACGATCATTCATACTATTGTTAACTGGAAAAAGTTAAGGATACAACCATATGATGGTACATACAACAATACAGTATATTCTTAACAAAAAAGTTTGACACATCTAGTATGGTTACGGCTAGCCGATCAGTCAAAGGGTATCAATAATCAGTGTACTGGACACAACTAGGAGATATAGTTAAGGTAGCCTTGCCCAAGTCAGTCTCTTTTACTTATCTTGATTTCTCAATTCAAGATCAGATAAGTAAAAAAATACCGACTTGGGCAAGGCTATAGTTAAGGTTGCGGAAGGATATATATCAAGTTTAAGGATATGATTAGCACAAGAATATTGGCATTCCCTTCATAAAAAGCAAGATCTTTTTTGGCAGGATATTCAGTGTAAATTATACTAGGATAAATTAATTTTCCATATTATAATGAAGAAACCATAAAAAGATTAAAAGACTAAAAATATTTAGGAATATCTAAACAAGGATATAATAACATCACCTTCGTAAAAACAAACGTTCATAAGGATTAATTTGGAAGGTTCTAGAATGTCAACCTTGAAGATATTATGGTTCTCAATATGTCTCATGATAGAGGCTATAACTGAAAATGAAAGCACATGCAAATATGGTGCGAAATATCCCAACATAACATGCAGTAAGCGTTCACCTTCCTGCCCAAATACATATGTGTGTAAGAAAAAAGAAAAGGCATGTTGCCAATACAAGATTCCAAAATGTGACCCATTGATGGATGATAAAAACGTTCCATATAAATGCAGAGGAGGGGGTAGTATAAAATGTGCAAAGAAGTCAAAGGATCATTTCTGTTACAGCTCCCAAGCTAACCTTTATTCTATATGTTGTAGGTATAGTCATATATTTGTATTCTAATACATATAATTCCATACTTAAATACTAAAGTACCATAGCTGGATGTGTGGCTGTTCCAAAACTTTTGAGAGAAAATTCTGTAGTGTCTATCTCTATTATAAATACATGCATTATTTCGTTTCAATATATCTATTTATATCGCAGGAATGTTACATGCAAGGATGAAGCAGGCAAGAAACACAAATATGGGTTCAAACCTTGGAGAAGTCCCGTGGACAAATGTAGTAAATGTACCTGCCTGCGAAATGGTCAAATCAACTGTCCAAAGAAAAACAGTAATTACCTTTTATTTTTGACAACTATTAATTTGATAAAGCAGTTCTGTTATATCTAATACTATTCTAGTACATTAAAGTCTAAAGTTCCAAAATCGATTCTGTTCTGATGGGCCGGTCCTAAAGGTGTAAATCAGAGAGAAAGGTGTTCACCAGAGATATGGGTGCTCATCAAAGGTAATGTTCACCAGTAGAGAGAAATGTTTGTAAGAGGGTGCTTCACTTGAGAGACAGGGAAGGGGATCGGGAGCAGTGGTGGCTAGAAAGGTGTTGTACTGTTATGGTATATATACAGGGTGGTCCAAAAAAACGCCACTTTTTTTTCAAAATGCTATAACTTTTTTAATTTTTGATACAAAATCATAATTTGCATACCAAATGAAACTTGAGGTTGTTATCTAGCCATGTATCATGAATTGAACACTTTTACTTGACTAAAATATGTCACCAGCGTCTCACTTAAACATGTGGTGTGCCATGAGAAATAAGCATAATTTGCAAAATGTTCCTGAACTGATATGGCCTGATGATCGCCAAGCTAATAGTCCTGATGCAAACCCAAGTGAGTATAGGGTATTTATTTTTTTGATAAATATAAGAGACAACAACCTCCTCTCTATTTGAGAAATCCAACTGAATTTGTCTTGCCCGCTAAAAGATCTGTGATATTAAAGAAAACATGCATTTTTACTGCTATCTCAGAATGGAACAAACTACCCCAACAACTCCAAGAGATAGACAATTTAAGTACTTTCAAATCTAAATTGACACTTCTCATTTATCCAGAACCTATCATATCATCTACCTCATTGCATTTACCTAGACCAGAGGAAATCAGTCTTAATAGGACTAGAGTCGACTTGATTTTTCAATCTCATTTTCATGCCCACAATTTTACTCTAGCTGATACACCAAAATGTAAGTGTGGATTCAAAAGTGAAACATCCAAGCATGTCATCTTTAACTGCAGACTCCGTAGGACCCTCCTAACTGACTTCGAAATTAAACTAAATAACCTTGAAATCCAATATAAAAAGAATTTTAAGACCCAACAAGAGAAATTGAATTTCTTTCTTTTTGGCAGCTCAAAACTTAACTACGCTACAAACATAACTGTTCTTGAAACTAGTGCCTCTTTTCTCCAGAAGTGTGTAAGTGTCTGAGTGTTAGCAGCAATTATCAAACCTTCTATGCTTAATTTATTCACCAATTTGCTTCACCAATTGGATTGTTTTTTTAAATAAAATTTTATAATTAACCCTGCGACTTATAATGTTAAACAAAGTCGCCTTTTTGGAAATTTTCTTTTTACATATATTATTGTATTAAATAAAACATGATAAATAAAAAAAAAAAAAAAAAAAAGGTATAGGGTATGGGAAGGTCTCCAGGAGATTGTATGAAGGCACCCAATCTAGAAAATTGCTCAACTAAAGCTGACAATTAAGACAGGTTGAAAAAAACTTACATTAAGCTAACATTCCATTGATACTGCTATATCAGCGAGGCGACTAAAACTAAAATATATCATCAAATAGGCGTGGCGGACCAATTGAACTCCTCTTTTAAATCAGATATAATCCAAGTTGAAGGACTTGTTACATTATATTATTACTAAGAACCCCTGGCACTATATAACTGCAAAATTTGGGGTATGTAGGTTGGAAAATAAAAAAGTTGTAGTGTCTTGAAAAAAAAGTGGCGTTTTTTTTGGCCCACCCTGTTCTAAGCGAATAATGGAATTCAAGTGATTTTGGAGTAGCTATCAAATGTGACCCCCGTGAAAGAGTGTGTGGGGTTCACTCATACCCCTGAACCACCCATGGGCCTGCTATGCATGCTTTTAGTATAAACATAAGGTGCTTATTGTCTTCGAATCTGTCTTTAGAGTGTTACATCTGTCCCAAGTCAGTGACGGGAGAAAGAACAAAACTGTATCGTAATGACACATATTGGAAGTCTAATTGTGAAAGATGTACATGCATCTCCAAGAATCATATCCCCTGTCATGGGCCATGTGCCAGAGGAACACAAGGTAAACCACATACCTGATGGAACAACTTTCTTTCTTGTAAAAGATCAAAATTTGTTGACATGGGTAGTAAATTATATAATCATCTTTTTGAAGTTTAAAGAGGAGCATGTAAAACTTGTAATTAACACATGTCAAGCTGCTTTCTTGGTGATCAATTCATTCCAAGCCTTCAAGGTCTATAGATGGCGCAAATTATGAATAATATGACAATTTTTGGAAAATGTGGTTTTAAAGTCAGAGCACCTTTTTGAGACACAACTTAATATAGGCGAACAGCGAGACATGAACCCGTATTACTATTTATAACTATATAGAGGTTTCTTTTCATCCAGGAAAGTATAGTGAATTTTCGCCTTTGGCTCCATCTAGTGGTGGATGTACAAGGCAAGGACAGATCCGACAATGTTATGGTGCAAAAGGTAAGAGCTTCAAAATTTGCGATTTAAAAATGATAAAATGTGGTACCATGGGAACTTGGTTCACGTGATGAAGTCATAACAAAGTTAGAGAGTGATTAAAAATTTTGAGCTCAACATTTTTTTTATACTGGATTAATTTCATAATCATTTTTTTATACTGGATTAATTTCATAATCAATCATAATCTAATTTGAACGGCAAACAGCTGTATCATCCTTATTAATCTTTTTTCTTAAGCTTTGATATTTTCAGTAAAGAAAGTTTGTCTGGTCCATTGCTTGTGCAAATAACCTATCATTAATATGACTTGAAAATATTTTAGGGTTACTTAAGATGAGAACAATTATTAACCCTTTCATAATAAAAAATTATATTTTACAAGGTGAAGATGGCTCTGACTGCTTTTCTACGACCATAAACTTCACAACGAGCCAATCACATGATCATGCATGTTCCCGAGCGGGAGAACCTATCACGGACAGCACACCCATTATTATAGGTGGTACAGAAGTAGAGCCAAAGTATAACTGGCGGTGGATGGTTCACTTGAGCTCAAAGTGTGGAGGGACAATCCTTACCCCGAAACATATACTAACAGCAGCCCATTGTATCAACTCAAGGGAGATGCCACTAATAATCAAAACAGGTAATACACTTCATAAATCATGTAATAGATTCGTTGGATTTTTTCAAAACAAGGAAGACAGTTCATACATCATAAGAAAGATAAATACCAAGTATCGGGGCTATTTTTCAAATTATGAATGAATTAAGAACATGTTGAGCGGCTTTTGCAATTTCGGTTGAACAAATCCTAGCTTGTAACAAAGAGACCATTCATGATTAAATTCAAATAAATGCAGCACCATAATATACAATATAATATACTGTCACATACTATGTCTTTAATCAATGAAACACTTCTTTGGACAGTTTTAGATTTCCAGATTTAGTCTTTTAGTCTTCTGGTCTTGGATTGTGATATTGGTTCTTGAATTGTGGGGGGAAAGGGGGTATTAGACATTGTTTCTTTTCACGTTAGATCATGGTTTTGGGCTATATGGGGTTGTTTTTCTTGACTGATATGCACTTAGAGTTTGCTTTTCTTGCTAAGTTCCATTACAACTTTTGGTCCTTTCCCCTTGGCACTTGTGCTTATACATTTGTATTGTTGTAGGCAAACATAACAAGACTATTGATGAACCGTTCCAACAAGTACGTGAAGTTAACATCACAAATATAATCATACATGAAGATTATGATCGAAATACAAAGAATAATGACATTGCAATCATTACAGTGGACCCACCAATAGTGTTCAATAACGTTACTCAACCTATACTCCTCCCAGAGTCCAAAAGTAGTTCGCCAGACAAGTATTGTGTAGCTATAGGGTGGGGAATCGCATCAAATGAATCAGTTTTTGGATTTGCAAAAATGGTTTTTCAAAAATCATCAGAGGTCTTGCTCGAAGTGACTTTGAGAGAAATCAAGTGTAAACATTCAGGGGTGGACGAGATGACAATGTTTTGTGCAAAGATGCCACAAAAGTAAGATCAAGCGCAACCCAAGGCTACACACAAAATCAAAGCATCACTGGGTGACAGTTCAATAAATAATACTAACAAAAGTCTTATATTCAATTTTTTATAGGAATCATTCATAAAATAGCATAATTTTTCTGTATTTAGAGATTTCCATTTAATGATATTGGGTTTATACTGTATAATGGTAAATCATAGAATACTTATAGTAGTATAGTGAGGGATTGAATATGTATGTAGATGTGCTCCTTATTGAATTTCCTGTATTGTTGCAGAGATACATGTAGCGGAGATTCTGGAGGTCCATTCATGTGTCGTGATCCCATAACTCGATTATGGACACAATATGGGATCACAAGTTGGGGCCCTAAATTCTCATGTGGCATCCACGGAGGAGTATACACAAAATTAACCAACTACATAGATTGGATTGCAGAGAAAATCACACTCAATGGAGACTGGGGTGAATTTAGCAGTTATACTCAATGTACGAAATCTTGTGGAAGTGGGAAAAGGTCAAAGGTGAGAGTGTGTACCAATCCTGAACCTATAGGAAGTGGGACATGTGTTGGGGAAATCGGGACAAAGTATAAGGATGAAGAGACCGGGTACATTTCAGATGTTGTTACAGAATTGTGTAATACACAGTCATGTTAAAGAACAAGTGAAAAACGTTGTTGAAGAACAAATGAAAAATGGAACAACCAACAACCAACAACAAGGTTCATTGAAACACGAAGCAAAATATCATGGAAATAATGTTACATTACAAATAAAAGCAAATACTGCCACTGATTGGTGTGTTTTGTTGGCCTTGACATTACAACCTTTTGTAGTCATAAACTTTCCCAAAAGTCAGCCCAATGGCACACACTGGAGAATAAGTATGTGATTTTAAGCTATTTTTGTTGTCCTGTGTCACGTTGATTGAGTTATGTCCTAGAATGCTAACCTTGTATTCTCAAATGCAACTAACTTCTGTCGGCTACTGGATTAACCTACTATCTTATGGCCAACTCATTTAAATATGAAAGTAATTGTGGCAGATACTATTCATATTTAAATCTGTTGCCCATAAAATAGCAGGTTAATCCGGTAGCCGACAGGCTTTAGTTGCATTCGTGAATACAGGGTGACAAAAAAAAACTGGAACCCATAAATCATCAAATTTCTCGGAAAGTATTATACCTACATTCTTCATTTCTTCAGGGTAGAAACTAGACTGAATGCATGACAAAATGACACCATAATGAGTACTGTAGCTTAGATATTAATCATGCCATGGACGACAGAAGAAAGGACTTATATTGTGAGAAAGTATATTGAGACAAAATCATATAAAGAGACACAAACTGCCTATAGGAGAGATCAAAGGGAAAGAAGAGCCCCTTGCAAGTCAAAGATCTTTAGGCTTGTACAGAAGTTTGATTCAGAAGGAACTGTAAAACCAACAAAGAAGAAAAGTGATGGTAAACCAACCTATTCTGGGAAACAGAGGTCTGTCAGAACTCAAGAAAACTCAACAGTCAACACAGAACGTTACATCCCTTACGTTCGAAAGTTTTGGAGAGCGCTGGGTAGACGACGTGACGTGAGAAGGGACCAGCAATGGTTCCAACAAGATGTTGCCACACCCCACACCTCAAATGAGTCCATTCGAAGGCTTAAGGCTCACTTTGGTGATCGATTAATCAGTCACCATACCCACCACATCTGCCCCCCCCACTCCCCTGATTTGAACCCCCCAGATTTTTATCTGCGGGGTTATCTCAAGGAAAATGTGTATACAGATAGTCCACTGACAAATGATGACCTCAAACTCAACATAGGAAGACTAATTAGAGAGATGGTCAGAGATGAATGCAGTCGGGTCATTGACAATTTTGCAAGAAGAATCCAGCTCTGCATCCAACGTTGTGGTGCACATTTGGAGCACATTATCTAAACGTGCCTCATTTGGAGACTAATTGGGCTAGAATGCTCAAACCTTGACATCTTGTCATACATTCAGTTTACTATACAGGTACCAAATAACTAAGCTCAATATGCATAATTGACGAAGTTATTAAGACTTAAGTGGGTTCCAGTTTTTTTTTGTCACCCTGTACAAGCTTAGGGATTCACTTGCTCACTGGGCATTCTTTCTCAACTTTTTACTCAAACTATTATTTTACCTTATTTAGTCAAGTTATGTTAAAAATCAAAATATTCACCCAACTGGGTGCAAATGATTCTCAATAAGCCCCAATGTAATCTCCAACTTCTAAGCTAGGTGCCTCTAACATGTTTGTATCAATTCTGGGCAGATAACAAACAAGCTACATGATTTATGAACAATAACAGGAGCATGAAACTTTGAAGTATTGTTGGTTTAATAGGATTAAATCATTGAGTAATAGATATTACATATCATATCCTCGAATTATGTAAATAGAAATGTTCAAATCTTCTTAATTGATAAAAGATATTAAGCTGCTAGAAATAATTTAAAGTATCTTACTTACACCAAGGTTATAATTCATTAACTGAATTGAAATACCTATACGCTTTTTATTTTGAAAGTCACTGTTCCTGCACAGTATTATGTTCATGAACCTAAAGTTCACAGATCTGAGAATGTTCATGAACCTGATTACTTTCATGAACCTGATTAAGTTCATGAACCTTATTGTGTTATGACGAGTCTTTAAGAATGTTCTATCTAAATATTTATATCATCTTCTTCAACTCCTGGTTGGCTGATAACATTCACTATGGATCAAACTAGCCTCCAATGAATAACATAATACAACTGAAATGATATTCACCAGGTGGTAGGAGGACCTTACAAATAGAATGGGTGTCATATTCACACAAAAATGATAAATATAGTAAGTGACATTTATCATAATTTAATTAAAAAAATGTTATTTGAATAACAGTATAATTGATTTATTTACTGATATTCATAAGATGTTAGCTTTAATGTTACTTTACTACAATTTTATCAACATAAGTCATATTTACACTTTTGATAATATTCAGAATTTATACTTGATAATATTCAGAATTTAGACAGCAAATTTCGCTGGTCTTTTGTTATGTGTTGTAATTAAAACATGTAGATGGTCCAAATAATATGAAAGTACTTTGCAGGTAGTTTTAAGCCTTCATTTCAACAGCTCACACTGTAAGCTTATAATAATGTAAAACGCAAAATGTTCCCCATAATCTAAGGTTATGATGGTTAAAACATAAGGAATGAAAAAACACAGTCACACACTCTCCTTTTTTACAATACAGTCAGGGTTCAAGACTAAGATTAAAGTTAAAGCCAAAGTTACCAAACTGACATTTGGTACATTGCACAAAGGCAAACAATTGATAGCTAAGAATGAAAAGTGGATGCCAGTGGCAGTCTGGCATATTTGAGATTCAAACCCTGTATATAGAGTGAGTATAGTACTCACCTCATCACTAAAATGCAGTCCAAGAATCAGTTGCCATAGTTCTGCTCTGTAACCTTGGGGAATTCCCTTCTTTGCGAACTCTTGTGCAAGAGGGCAGTGATCTGAGGCAAGTACTGGAAAACAGTGAATTGAGGATGCACAAATGTACAATTTCCATAGAGGTATATCAAGATTTAATTAAGTGTAAATGGTATTGTTGTTAAATTGTTTGTTGATGTTATTATTAATTAGAGACTTAAGATGGGAGAAAATAGGATCTTTTCATCATTTTTTCTGTGTTAAACTTAACTAAAATGCAAAGTAGTGGAACTAATACGTTCACATAATATGGCATTCTTTTTCATGCTCTCCTTCTCACAATATATTGAAAGAAAATATGACATTTGGAAATCTCTTGTTTCTTCTAAATGTACAGCCTCTGAAGCCTGGTTGATAAAGAAAATGGAAAGAGCATAGAGAGGGATGATGTTGGAAATAGAGACATGAGTTCCAAATGACTTTGTGTTGTATTCTGTGTTACCTTTCTTTGCAAGTTTTATTCTGTCCTGCTGGAACTGGTCCATATTTATCTCAGCGCTGTCTTCTACTCCTGTTTGACATTGGTTGATTGTGAGATCACTGTATTCTAGCCTCTGAGATAAACAGAAAATATAACCATCAATTACTTCACCAGGGAAAATGTGTTGGTCCATATATTTGCAGAATTTAAATTCAATATCCCAGATGCGAGTAGAAATGATCTTGATTTATGTCATTAAAAATTCACAATTCAAATCTACATGTAAAATTACATTTAGAAATGTAGTTTTGAAAAGAGTTTATCAACTTTGAAAATTTAATTTTTTTTAAAAATGTGACTTCTAGGTCGGGGAGATTCCCCATAGACCCCATGTTGTAAAACCACAAAAAGTGAAATATCTTTTCTTGTGTTGTGTTCTTTTACTGGACATATTTTAATTTGTATAACTATCAGATACATAAGGGTAATATAAAAAGTGAACCACTAAAACTGATGAATATTCAAGTTTAAGGGAATTTTGTAATACCCTGCCATGTTAATTCCCCCGAATCAACCACCTGGTGGTGAAACTGGTAACTACCTACTCGCATCTGAGTAATTGACAAATTTTCTGATATTTTGATGAATAAAAACCTCAGTAACTTTATGGTTGGTTTCAGCAGCTCAATTACTGGTGGGGTTTTGGCAAAAAACTTTATTTCTTTATTGTTGTTTTATAAATGTATCTAGCTGCATTCTTAAGTGGGATTGGCATTTGTTCACTTTCAAAACTGGGATGAGTGGCTTATATAGAGAGGTTCACTGCACATACATTTTGTAGGATTGAATCCCAAACAGCTTTAGGCCCGTAGCCATGATTTGCCAAGGGGGGTTCACTTTTTTCACTTTTTGAAAAATTCCAGGGGGGCTCGGTTTTGACAACTTTGACTCAAAAATGGCCAAAATGACTTGAAAAGTGCTCAGAATGGTGAAAAACTGCATGATTTTGAAAGAATTTTCGGCCAGGGAAGGAGGAGGACCTCCACCCTCCGCCTGGCTACAGGCCTGAGTGTGTTTTGTTTTCTGCACACTATAGATTGATTACAAATACCAGATATAGAGCTAATAACATGACAACAATAAGGGAGTATTATATTTGAAATATGTTGTTGTTTATTTATTTTGTTATGTGCAATCTTATCTTATATTCATGACAAACTCACATTTCAATAGGTCATGAGGTGCGTACTTAATTCAGGCAACTGAGATAAAAAGTGGAACAAGTCTATTTATAAGATTTACCACATTAAGGGCAATTTGCCCCATCTTGATCCATCAAGGTATTTCATATAACTGAAGGAATACACTGGTTTAACAGTATGCTTTGCTAAGTATGAATATGAATTAAGTGTTACCTGAATACAGACAAGAAATAGACTGAATCGAAGAATTATATCACTGATTCTGTCTGATTATAGCTCTGACAAATGCCCAATATTTTTTGAGAAGGTTATTGTTTTATGAATCTAAACAGGCCCGTAGCCAGTGGGGGGGGGGGTGTTCGATGGGCTCGAGCGACCCCCCCCCCCCGGCAAAAAAATCATTCTGAGCACTTTTTAAGTGATTCTGGCCATTTTTGGACCAAAATTGTCACAAGTGAACCCCCCCTGGAATTTTTCAAAAAGTGAACCCCCCTTGGCAAATCCTGGCTATGGGTCTGCTAAAGATGACCACTCACCAATTGTTGTAGATTTTTCACTTGGAGAGGAACCTGCATTATACCCCACATGGCGAACACACTGAAAGTAATTACAGTATAATTTTAAAGTCATGATTTTGCAAATTTGAATTTTTTTTAATACATGTCTTCTTATACAATATGATGATTTTTTTTGATTTTTCCGCAATATATAAATCAAGTCATGAAATAGTTTAGTTGTTCATCTTTAAACTGTCATTTATCCTGTACTTTTAGACATAATATACAGTGTGATCACAAAGTTCTTGTTATTGTTCTGGTATTTTATCATTTCCTAACCAGAATTGCCAGAATAATGGAGAAAATGAAATTACAAGCAATGAAAAATGAAATAATTATATTTTTTAGTTTAGGTTCAGATATGGATAGCAAAACTCCAGATGTGGATAGTAGAAGTTCAAGTTAAGATATGGATAGTATAATCTCAATTATGATGGATATGGATTATACAACATCAGATATGGATAGACCAAGTTCATATTTAGATATGGATAGTAAAACTTCAGTTTAGATATGGATAGTGTAGGTTCAAGATCAGATATGGATGATTCCAATTCAGATTCAAAAAGACAATAAAACTAGACGTTCACATAGAAAGGTATTTCACTCAAATAGTCCAAGAAAAACAATTTAGCAAAAACAACACATAAACAAATCAACAATCTACTGTTATCTGTAAACAGAAATGTATTATATCACTCTAGATGTACAAGGTAAAACATTGCCTGGTGTGTAAGACATAGTTTGGTGTATAGGACATAGTCTAGTGTATAAGACATATTCTGGTGTATATGACATGATCTGATGTATAAGACATAGTGTGGTGTATAAGACATAGTCTAGTGTATAAGACAAAGTCTCATGTATTAGACATAGTCTGGAGTATAAAACATAGTTTGGTGTATAAGACATAGTCTAGTGTATAAAACAAAGTCTCATGTATAAGACATAGTTTGGTGTGTAAGACATAGTCTCATGTTTAAGACATAGTCTGGTGAATAAACCATAGTCTGGTGTATAAGACATAGTCTAGTGTAAAAGACATAGTCTGGTACATATAAGACATTGTTTGGAGTGTTCCACTGACCATAATGGAATGTACACAGTATCATTTCCCTGGGTTACCCCCCTCCCCCCTAACACAGCGAAACACTTCACTTCGATGTCTTACCGTTTACTTTGCACAGGTGCATACCTGAGAAACACAATACAAACATACAGTGAAAACTCAAAACATCAATGTAGTCTAATGTACAGATGTACCAGTAATGTGCATAAAACAAGTTTGTCACTAAAATATGCCTGCTTCATTAAAAAGATCTCAGTTCTCTAATCTGGATAGAGTCCATATTGATTTTCATACAGTCTGTAAATGTATATTTGACAACAAATCCACAAACCTCTTTTTCTTTAAAAAATATTTTAAAAAAAGTTAAGTAAAATGTAAAATTGCTAAAAAATGACATACTTGAATTCAAACCGTGTCGAAAATGAGAAAAGACACATATTGACTTTTTTAAACAAACACATACATGTATGAGTGCAATTCAATAATAAAATCACAAAACTCAAAATATTGTCGCAAAACAAATGCCAAAAACATTTAGTCTTAAAAGTGCTCATATTCTAGCTAATGTATTTCACTAACCTAAGGTCTACAAACTTATAAAATCTATATGAAATGCAAAATATTATTCATTTGAGAAAGCTATATCATTTCATGCAAATGAGAACATTTAAATGAACTAATAATCATAAAACTTATGAATTTGTTTACATATTGCATGAGCAGAAGTATATACAATGTCTAACAAAATTTAAAATAACTACAAAAAGCACTTTTAAAGCAAATTCTATACATGTATATTTCTGAAGGGAAAATCACTATTAATTCTGAAAGACTTGATTGCATTACCTAATTGTTTGTATTAATTTTTACACAAAGCCAGGATATATTCTCCCGTCCGGTCCTTGCTTATTCTTCTCTTATCCACTCTATACAATATTAAACCATAAAATTATGAGACATAAAAGAGGAATCTTACTTTGCGTCATCTGCTGTGTTCATGTTTGGATTCTTCAAACTGACTAGAACATCTAGGAAATCTTTTGGGGCATATACTGGCCTAAATGCACTCAAATCTGAAACATAGTTCATTTCACAAATACATATGTACATTCTATTCAGAATTATCTAAAAACTGCCCAAATGATTTTTGGTGTAAAACATCATATTTTTCCAAGTTTGATAACGCATTTAACTCTGATCAATATTCCCTGTTATCGAGGTAAGGTTCATTTACAAAATTGATAATCCGTGTGAATAGTAAAATCTGATAAACATGTACATAATATAAGACTATATTTCACTCCATGGGCTAATTGGTTAACTCTTACTCTTTTCTATAAATGCCAGAATATTAAACATTTTATTCAAATTCTAACATAAGCAGAAAAATTGTTGAATTTAGCTTGTTAATCCTATAGTGGTTTTCTTTACCTGGTTCATCTGTGCCCAGCTCACTCCATTTCACCAACACTTCTCTCTGCTCTTTCTCAGGTCTCTAAAATATGTAAAATAGTTCTTTTTGCTTTCAAAATTTTTCCAGAATTTTGCCAAAAGTGAAATTTTAATTTTTAAAATGCCAATTACAACTAAACTTATGGCATTTTGACCAAAATTATGCCTATTTTCAAATGGCATATTTTGAATAAAGGAAGCAAAATTTAAACAGGATGGCATGCAATATTGTGATTTCTCTCTATGCATGCAACCCCAATGCAAAGTATAAGACATTTTAGGTCTACAAGAAACAATATTTATATTTGGATTACAAACTTCAATTTTAAGATGTACCATCTACTTATAATCGTATATTATGGGTATAATGTCAAAATTACCCTTCTAGCAAGTGGCACTCCTAGCTCTGTACACATGCTGTTCAAACTTTTTAGGATTCTTTTCTCCCAGTTCACCTGAAAACAAAATAAAATGCAAATTCTTATATATTTTTCCTTCAAGATTTTGCAACTTCTATATACTTTTTTGTCAAATTAATAAATACCCATTCATATGCCATATGGATATACCATCGAACAATGAGTGACATTTTCTTTGATTCTAATGAGGGTTTTATGAATTTTTTATTGATTTTAGACAAAAGGTTCAAAACATATTTATTTATTTATTTCGATCTACACTTTTGAAACAGTGGCACTCTCTGCAATGCAAAGGTGCGTCGAATGTACATGTTAAGATAAAACAATTATTACAACTTACTAAAAACATTCATTTTGAGTATTTAATATAAACTGATTTTAAAAACCTTTTAAAACATTTGTCAAACATTCTACCTTGTTCTTTCCCCCAAATTTCAAAGACATCATCCCCTAACATGTATTTTAGCTTCTCCTCAGGAGAGAGAGAGATGAATTCAGCTACTAAAAGAGCGTCACATTTTGAAGTTATATCATTTATAAATTGTAACCTTTCATTAATAAACTTAGGGCATACAATGAATCGGTGAATTAAATCTTCAATGTCATTACTTTTACAATGAGGGCAAATTCCATCACTTTTCTTCCATCGTTTATTATCCTCCTCCAAGTTAAAGCACCCAGTGTTCTTGCCATGAATTTTAACCTGGAGCAATAGAAATCGATGTCATCTTGGAGGTAGTTCTCTTTAAGTGTATGTTTCTTAAGAACAGTGTAAGTTTTCAGTGATGTTCTCTTATCTATAGCTCCGAAAAAATCTGTATTCTTCATTTCATTAGAGATTTCTAGGAAGGACTTATACCAAGTTTGATCAGTTGACTTTAAACAACTATCTAGACCATGTTTAATTAGGGTATCAGAAATTGATTTAATATAGGGCCAGGATGAAATCTTATTATCTTCGAAACGCTTAAACATTTCCATAAATATATTTCTAAAAAGTGTACTTTTTTCCATGCGCTTCTGTAGATGAAGGTAATAATCTATTATTCTTTTGTCAATGGTATTCAAAATCGGACGCCATCCTAAATCACCAATAACCGCTTCCCTGGCAGGCTTCATATTTAGATTAAAAACTGATCTTCCAATGTTATATTGGAAAGAATTCATATCGTTACATTTGGATTTCGATATTACAGTTTAGGTTGAACTTTAACATATTTCTTTAGAACAATGGAAGTAAAAAAGATATTTGTGATTAATATTTATAAAACAATTAAAGAATTGTGTTTAAAAATTCAACATGTCAATGCCAGTATCAATGAAATTAAATGGATGCTTCTATGAATTCTGGGATATAATTTTAGAACACTGTTGTAAAAATACCAGACTGACCTGAGCTTTCCTAAGATAAGTCAATGGTTCCTTGTTGTGTTCAGCTGGTGCCAGATGGTGCTTAGTGGGAGACTCCTTCTGCATGTGCTGGTACACCATGTTACGTAACTTACGTTCCCATCCTAAACAAAGCAAGGAATAACTTAATTACCGACGGGAAGACAAATGACTTTATTGAGGGAAGATCAATGTTTCTTGTACAGTCTTGTTACAGTCAAGCTTCTATTTTTGTTTCACCGTCATTTAAACTGATTTAATCTACTTTATTGTCAATACAATTTTCTAATTTTTCACAGGCAGAAGATGGCTCCATGTTATAACATAGAAGCAATGATTTGATGAGTGTTCAGTTTTGGAATGATGTTGTACTGTTGTACTGAAAAACACATTTTTAGATAAAACAAATACATAGTACTATGGATTCAATTATAATCATAATTGTTAAAATGATTTAAAATTCAACAGACAAATGGTTTTTAACTGGGTGCAAGATTATTTCTAAATTGTAATTTGCTTCAAAGCTTAGTATGAATGATCATCTCTATATTATGACATATAACATGTACTCCATGTTAGATTACAGATATATTCTTTCCATCATATACACTCAACATGATACATTTACACTATATACCTGTATGTACATGTATGTACACTTCACCTATTCACTCAACATGTTCAGAACAACTTGTGGAAGTTGGAACATTTTGCATTCAGTTATCCAATAACTAGTTGAACACTACAGTATCTTGAGGTACCAAAGGTGTTCCACTTACACATGTTTAAATGTACATAAATACATATAATGTACATATATGCGTATAATGTACAGTACATTGAGTACATGTGCTCACCTGAGTTGATTAGTCCTTTGACAACTTCAGTCTTTACATCTGAGACTCTTATGGCTGCCCTGCCAACTTCAACCTGGAAATAAAGATGAGCTACAAAAGGTGCATCTACATGAACTGGGAGTTCAACTTCAAAAACATGAAAGATTCACTTAAATCAAATATTCAGCTTCCTTATACACGGGGGTAAAGCAGACCCGATGATGCATTGAGCTTGCTCGGCAGTATCATGACTGTGTAACGGGTCTTAATGTATAAGTGTGCTCGGCGGTAGGTTCAAACAACGCGGATCCTCAAAGCATGTGCTCATGGTATATTCGTGTTTTAACACCCGTGCAAATTACATACAGAAAAGTAGAACCTACATGTTATATTTATGACTTGAGGTCCTTATATCATAATGTACCTTATCTTGCTAGACCCATAACATTTAACAGTAAGAATTTGTATGCAGTACATATTTAGTTTAGAATAAATACCTCTGCTGCTTTCTGAAGCTGTGTATGTAGATGTGATTGTTTAAGTTGGTCTACAGTTTTTGAAATTAGACGGGCCACATCTGCAGGAGTTCTCTGATCCTCCATATTCTTATATGTTGTACGTAGCTACAAACTGTTGCAACGTTGTCACATTTAGGGTTCTATTTCCTATTGTATTACAAATAAGGTGTTTATGACTACCGTATTTATGAAATCAATTGCATTTGTGACATTTGAGGGTTGTTACAACAATGATATTTGTGACATTTTGAGTATTTGTGACAGCACTGGTACTGTGGTAATCTACATTCACCACATATATCCTCTTGTATTCGATCGCGGCATCAAAGTTTAAATGATTTTGTATTCCTTGCCTTCATGTGTATCACATGTTACAATACGCAGTACACAATAGCAGCCGGCTATGACTTCTAGGCTAGCTAGCACTAAACATCATTTTAATGAAAGATAAGTCACTTAAAGTCAGATCGGTTGAGTAAATCACATCCACATCTTTGACACCCAGGGTATTATTTGTGACATCCCGGATTACATCTCCATTCATTTATTGTAGGCCTAACATCAATAGCTAGCAATCTGTAGACGAATTCACCAATGTCCCTAAAAATAAACATTATTGATAAGTATTAGGTCTATTTTTGTCTGAATGTTGAAAGTTGTAGACTAGAGTCTAATCGAAAGCTTCCCTGGCGATAACATGGCGACCAAAATTTCAAAGAATAAAACGTGTAATAATTATCTTTAGACTCGACCTTACGCACATTTTCTGTGTCCTACATCATCTCAACTATACATAATATCAATATGTTGCAATCTTTATTGTCTATCAGCGATAATTACCACGCAATTCGACTTTTGTCTGTTAACTTACGATTTTTCATTTCCGCGACCGCCATATTGGATTGTTTTGCAGAGCGCCTCTAGCGGATATTTTACAAACTAAGCTAGATGATGAGTAGTTGGTAAAATACGGGAATGAGTTCGGAATTTCTAAAATAGATTACTAGGGATCTGGGAGTTTAACCCTTCTTTTAATTTTATTGTATTCAGTGTCATTTAGATCCTATAACCACAGAAACATAAGAAATTAGTGGCGGACATGGATGGGGCCGATTCAATTTAAATACCATTTGATCTTTTATCATTGTGTGTAATAGGCCTATTGATTTACTGTACCATTTCTATTATTTTTACATCACCTTTTATTATTGTTAACTGTATTTTTATGTAAAACTATATAATGATGTATTGATTTGTGAGTGAGCCTTTGTTTGGATTTAAATACAATGAATATTTAAAAAATCTAAGCGGCTACAACATTTTGCGGATTTTAAGCACATAAGCTACGTGTATAAAAACAACACTTGTGTTTTTTGATTATTAGCGAAAATTTTAGAAAATACTTTTTTCATCATTTAATCATTCATGCAGCCTTATGTTCAAATTTTCTTATTCTACGATTCACTTTTAAAATTTTAAAACATGTTAAATAGCGGCTTAGCCTACACCGTGCATGGGAGCGCCCCCCCTTTAGTGGGCCCAGAATTTCTTTTAGTTTTTGGGCCCCAACATTTTGTAGGGCCTCAAAAATGGGCCTTTTTGAGCAGCAATAGACTAATAAGCCTAAGTACATCGGTATAACATTCTATGCTATGGACTGATCGCCATCGCATCCATGCCCACTGATTGCCGTTTGTGATTACTTAACCATGCGGTAAGGATATTTACTTAATGCTGTGTTTTTCAGAGTGCAACTAATTCCAGGATCAATTGAGTGGAATCGGAGCAAACAAGAACAAACGTACGCAGCCTGGTTCAATCGTCTGCCAGAATCATCCAACTGAAGAAAAGGCGGGAAAGCCATTATCGAGCAGACGGATTTTAGATGTACTCGATTAACCCTTGGAGTTGTCTAAATCAATTGAAGCAAATTGCTCGATGCTGGCCAGAGATAAGACAAAGGATATGACTATTAAAAACATATTTGAAAACAAGTTCAGGAATCCAATTAAAATATCGGTGGTGCGTCCACGGAATTTGGCGAAGAATCAACGTTGTCCAATAATACCTGCTTTGAAATTAATGACTCACGGATGTACAATTTTGCATCGGTAAATATTATTTTGACTCGGGTATTATTCATTCATAAATAGGTTTGAGAATAGTATATATTTAAGTCATTAATTTCACCGTTCCAAACGCGGTTGAGCACTTTGAATGGATATAATCTTACGAGGAGTAAGCTAATCTGGAGCCGCCAATCTTTACCATTAAGAAATACAAACGCCAAGGGTAATTATTGTATTTGAGGAACATTAAGTGATTTTACCTGTATTGAACCTTAAGTGCTTTTATTCAATATCGAAGAGACAAATGATATAAGATATTTCTATCCGAAGATTGAGAGCGAAAATATTATGTAACCTTCCGGCACCGTCCAAGCTACAGCGGATCGGAGCGTTCTAGATCGCAATCGCCTCTAGGATAAATTCATCTTGTAGGCAATACGGCCCCAATGATTCAATATTGATTGAACAGGGAGGTATAAAAATCAGAACTGATAACACAAGAAGTTTCATTTTAGTCAAAAATAGAAGTTGATTGAAGTGGTTAAGCAATCTAAAGCCATTTTGGATTCTAGACGCAGCGGTTCTACCACGATAGACATCACCAGGAAGCGATTCCGACTCTTGTCGGACATTGGACAAATTCCACTTAAAAGTTTCTCTAAATGAAGTGTCACTTAGTGAGCTATTATAACCATTACAGAAGAAATACTCGAAGAGGGATTTCTGTCAAAAGAAGCTGGGAAATATAATCTAGCATGGCAATTCTTGATAATCCCAATTTAGATAACAACAACAACACCGGACTAAATCCACCAACAATGGCTGGATCTGCGGAACCCTATGCGGACTATGAGCCCTTTTCACGGAATAAAAACAGTGACATACATGTATACGACATGCTCTATACTAATTTTACAACTGACACCTATGATAGTGACAATTTCAGCTACAATGGGAGCACAAATGGAACATGGGCTAATACCACAAGGCAAATTGTGAACAGTAACGAAGTGGTGATAACGTTGTACACGTTAATCTTCGTGTTAGCAGTTTTGGGAAATTCCCTCGTTATAGTGACAGTTTTACGGAACAAAAAGATGAGGAATGTGACCAATATTTTCCTGTTGAATCTTTCCATAAGCGATTTGATGCTGGCCATCTTCTGCATGCCGTTCAATCTCATTCCCATTGTGCTTAAAAATTTCATCTTTGGTGAGGTGATGTGTATCGGAACTCGTTACATACAGGGTGAGTACACGTTTAAATAATTTTTGGGGGGTGCACGTAAGGGTCAAATACCAGGGGTGAAACATGTTGGTGGGGTCAATATCAGGGGTGAAACAGGGTTGCGAGTGAATGCGAGGGCAGAAAGTTATTATGATTTGTAATTTTGAGAGATTGGGTTAAATCCTTTCATCAAAACGTTTATCGATGTTCATTGACGATGAACCTAGAGTAATTAAAATCAAAAGTTACCCAAGCAACTGACTGTCATAGACTCGCACATGACATCACTAACAAAGTACATACCCTCTCGCCCCGGCTCTCGCCATTAGTCCAGGAACGCAGTTTATCGAAATCGCTCTATTCTCCAGGGGTGATCTCAAAACCCAACTGTTGATCCAGAAAATATAAAGTATGTAGATTAGTGACAGTATCTCCATAAAGCTAATTGTGACATCCTGTAGTAATCGACATTAGCTCGTGTTTTACGAGTTTTCTGAAAGATTTATACGATGCCACAGCATGGTTTTTAGAATTAAGTCATTAATTGAAGTGGCCGTGAAACCCAAACGGCAAACTAATACACATTATGATGGCGATTTTATATCAGAGTTGGATTTATAACTTGTTTATAGCTTCAAATTTCTATCTACTCATTAAGATATTATGTTGGAGATATGGCCTTCGAGAAATGAAGACTGCATTACATCACAATCAACAAACCAATCAATCAATCAATGAAACAAACAAACAATCAATCAATAAATCAAATTTAAAAACTGAACATCTAAATCAGGAATCGGAAATAATTACATAATCTAAATATTAACAATAATGATACAAATACACATGAATGATTGTGAACAAACAATAGATTATCGAATTCTTTTAGTTTTGTTCAAAGTTGTATGCATCATTATTAATGTTATTATTCTGTCAGCCATATAGCAGTATAACATTTTATGGTATTACTTGGTTCAAAAGGGAGATGATGTTTATGGGTTTTTGGACCTTTTGGGTAATTGAAATGACCATTAAAATAGATTGGATGAATCCACATCGGATATTATGGGCTATCAATATCAATGTTAATGTCAAGTTCAACATTGTATCGTATATTAATGGTTTAGACAGAGACATATAAAAAAGTTATTACATGTCGAGGTGCTTTTTCTGGGATATCATTCAATGAGCAAGTTGCTTCATTTGCTAAAATCTTTGTTTTACAGTCTCTGAGTCTTTTTTCATGGGTTATTTAGTCAAGCAATTTAATATATTGAGTTTTTTACGACAAAACAAAAAAGTGCCGCTTTTCCATTTGCAGTAGCTTCCTTGAACATGTTCGAAGTTATTGATAATTGAAGTTCAATTTATTTATCTCGTATGGATTGAAAAGCGCTGTCTGGGTTGTTTACCGCTCTTCACTTACATTGCTGCATTTTTGTTTCTGGATTTTGTTTTATCAATATGCCACCATTGGAATATATAGCTTCGGCCACCCACGTTACATAATTAGAATATACAACTAATCAAAATATCAACCAAATCAAAATAGTATGGATAAAATGTATTGGTTAAAGTGACTCATCATCTCAAACCAAATAAATAAAATCGTACCAACCTGTAATTTGTATTGTTAATGAATGGCTTAAAAGCGTCAACTTATTTCTGCACCCAAAGAGACAAGAAAATCTACCTATATATTTATTGTATTTATTCAGGAAAACAACAACAAGGGGAATACATCCTGTCCATATTTCCTTGTCCAAACAATGTAAAACACCAAGTTGTATCCTTTCTTTATTGAAATCAGGATGCGGTAATGTTCCAAACACACACAGTGGAACAATCCAGAGTTGGTCCTGTGCTGTTATTTGTATGTTTTGCTTTTTTGTTGATTGTAAAAACCATGATCAAGGAACAAGAGAAAGCTTGAGGTAGGCCTAATTGATAGTACCACATCTTAAATAATATTGACAATTGTATTTAAAGGGTATTTCCTTAATCTAAAAGACTCATTCCTGGAATATATCTTTTGTAAATAATGAAAAGGAATTATTTATGTGCCAATTCCACTAATGTTGACGTAGGTCTCACAATTTAGGTTAATTCGCTGTGGAAAGGATCAATCACAAGGCAAAGCTGTATCAGGAAATAGTGCGATGTGAAAATCTTTTTTTTGTTCGAGCCTTGTTACTTTCAAACTTTTATAATCTTTCGCTGTGTCGATTTTTAATTTTTCCGATCTCATTAAAAAATTATCATTAAATATCCATTATCGTTTCCTTTGTCATCTGTTTATAAAGAATACATTTATATTTTTTATTTTTATCGTTCATGAGGAGAAACACCCAGTACTGGTCTATGTTTCATTCGATACAAAGTAATTCACCTTCTTGTGTGAGTTATCTAACTTTCTTATTTCAATGCTAATTGTTTTTTGGCTCACTCTATAAATTTATATGTAAGAGCAAAGTAAAATGAGTTATTTGATTAATGGCGATAATTTTGGTTCCACGCAACGCAGATATTCATCAATTTCAAGATGATGATAATAGTAATGATGTAATGACAGATGTATTTAGTTTCGTAAATTATAGTAACTGACAGCTCTGCAATTTGAATCTCTTAACTAGTAAATGAAACTGCATAACGATTTGCGATAATCGTAAATACTATATAGTAATTTTCACTAAAGAATATGGTTTATAGGTTTCGGGGTGTGCAGTGACCGCTGTCTCCTGAATGAGAAGCAAATAGGCAAAACAATGATCGCTCCTAGTCGATCTCCGTTTCGTATTCTTTTACTTTTTATTTCATTCCAGGTATAGTTTATTAATGATATGCACGTTTTCATTGTGGTGTGCTGTATTAATTTTCTTACAAAAGAACAAAATAGTTACTCTTTTTTGAGAAAGTAGAAAATGATTTTTCGTAGTTTTTTTTAAAATTTATGATATTATTTGAGAAAACGGGTGCAAGTGAGCTTGCAGGGGCATAGGCGATACCCATAGCCCAGTCTTTGAATCTAGTTCGGAAGATGTTTAAAATCTGGGTCAACGATTTGAAATAACAACTTTATCGTTGTACCTACAACGTATTGGCTTATGATTTGAATCAAAATAGTAAGCTTTGCTAAAAGGGACGCGCTTCATTACCAAGAGAGACCAAAATCAACAAACATCGAATTAACAAATGTTTATTTATTTATTATCATTATTATTTATTTGATGAGCAATATATGCATTACATTGGCTCCGAGAGAAATATCATACCCCGATCCACTTCGGCGCCAGATTTACCATGAACGTCTGAGGCAATTTCGAGATGCTACTCGGAGCCATGAGAATATTCTAGCAAACAATGAGATATATATTTACTATAGCGAGATAATAAAACAAACCAACTGATATTCCAGTCACATTTTGCGAGCTATTACCAAGATTGATAAATGCATCCTGTCTTCTCCCGACCAAATAATACTCGAGACAAACGTATTATTAAGGCTTCTGCAAATCTACATTGATTGGCCATTTTCCCATTTGGTGTGGTATTGGTTGGTTGGTTAAGACGAGACCATGTGATAGCACATTTAAGTAGCCACATCAATACATTGTCTCCCGAAGGAGAGGTCTCCCAGCTGGATACCACATCCTTGGGTTTACTTTCGTCTCTCTCCATACCTCGGAAAGGTCACCACCGCTCCCCATTTAATTTTCTTTCATCTTATTTTCTGTCACATCGAATTCCAAACTCGTTTTCGTTGTTAATTTATCTTTTGCCTTTGTCTCTTTATATTACCACCAGAACTGGTGACATTAATTGTTATAGTCTCCACTTTTTAGTGGACGGAGTTTGGGGGTCGGCGTTAGGAGGCCGGCGTCTGTAACAAATGGCAGGTTGTGACATTTTGCATGTTAATGCCTTGTTACCTTTTTACATCCTACCCTGACTCATGTGCATGCAGGTACATACGCTACAAACATAAATCAGAGCATATTCCGTTGCTAGTACTAATTTTTAAATGTGGATAACTACCATTCCATAGTTCAGAATATGACATTAATCTCTCGTGACATCAATTTTGCTTACATCCTGACATTTGACACAGAGTTGAAATAATTAATCTGAAACTTAGAGGTTACCTTGACCTTAACTTGAACTTAACATTGACCTTGACTTAAACTTGACATTGACCTTGACTCAAACTTGACATTGACTTTGAATCAAGCTTGACATTGACCTTGACTCAAACTTGATATTGACTTTGACTCAAGCTTGACATTGACTTTGACTCAAACTTGACCTTGACTCAATACTTATTTCGAACGTTATAAACTTATCATTTTGACTATTAAGGTCTATAGAGTAATTGGGGATTCATTTATTTATTTGTGATTAATTTTATTTCCTGGCAAAAATAATGGTTTACCCATTAAAAGTACTGAAAGGATTTTTGGTATTTCCCTTGTGTAAGCATGTTTAATATCAGCACTCGATTAATCTTGGTAGATAAAGTTCAAGATGCATAATTGACAAATGAATCTCTAATCTTTCTTAATCCAGAATTGCTCGCTCAATCCTATAGACATGAGGAAAATCCGCAAAGTACGGAGTTGTACTTTTTCGACTTTTAATTTTCGCTACATTTAATTTCTAAACGATCTCGAACTTCTCAAATCTTCTTGTATAAGTACGTCAATTTGTAGAAAAATTATCATTTTTCATAAAACTGATCATGTATTTCAATATCCCAGTCATGTAGTTTCAATAACCCAATCATTGTGAAGTGTTTAATTTATTATACTAAAGTTTCCAAAATATATGGAAGAATTCAGGGAAAATAATTTTTGAAAAGTGCACGGCGTGAAGATTTGTACGGCGTGAAGAGAACGGGGTATGCAACACCCTTCCACATCTATGAATATGTTATTTTGGAAAAAACTTTTGACATTGACATGAATTATCAAATGATGAATAGTTATCAGACGTGCAAAGTGGGAACATTTTTAGGATTAAAGAAC